GGTCCAGGAGTCTCGCAGGTATTCAGGTACCTGCTTCTGCCACTAAACACTTTCAGAAATCTGCTGTGCTGTGTTTTGCCATAAATCAGTCTGATTCTGCTCCCAGGTTTGTGGATCAAGACCTCCAAGGTGAATTGCAGGTGGGAAGCGTGATAATCATGGGTGATAGAAGACAATTTATTTCTCTTGAGGCTGTGGCCATGGGCTGATGTCCTCCATGGAATCCTCTCCTTGCTGAGTCCTATAGTGCTGACCACCAAACTTGGGAATGACACCCTGTTCATCTGCACCTTTCTTGCTGCTACACTGGTGGGCAAAATAAATGAGCTCTCTCTCAAAGAGACCAAATGAAACAAGAGCAGCAGCAGCAGCAATCCAATCATTGTATCTATATTCTGGCTAGCAACAAGTATAAAAATGTCTCTCTGATTATTGTATTTCTTGGGGACAGTCTATTTTTTATTTTTGCAGATGTGTTTACTCTCATGACACATCCTTATACCTGGGAGAGAGATGAAGAAGGGCTCTCTGGTGCTTTACCAGTTAATGCCTCTGAGCTCTCAAGAACTCAGAAGAGATGTCTCTTGATATATCTTGTTAGATCATCAAGGTCACAGCCCAACTTTCTTATTTCAGTACGAATAAGGGAAAAAAAAATAGAGGGCTGCATGCTCCAAAGACACATTCTGGAATTCTTTTTAATTAGTTTAACAGGGTGCTGTAAGTATCTATTGATATGTCTTGTTAGATAGCCAAAGTCACAGCCCAGCTTTCTTGTTTCAGTACAAACAAGGGGAAAAAAAATAGAGGGCTGCATGCTCAAAAGACACATTCTGGGATTCTTCTTAATTAGTTTAACAGGGTGCTGTAAGTGTAATGAGCTTGTTGCCAAGGCGAGGTGGAAAGAATTGGGATATGTGTCATAGAATCATAGAATGGCTGAGTTTGGAAAGGACCCTAGAGATCATCTAATATGGGAAGAACTGGGGCATGTGTCATAGAATGGCTGAGGTCAGAAGGGATCCTATAGATCATCTAATCCAACCTCCTGACATGGGCAAGGATGCCTCTCAACTAGACCAGGTTGCTCCAAGACCTCATCCAACCTGGCCTTAAACACAACCAGAGAAGGGGCATCCACAAGCTCTCTGGGCAACCTGTTTCAGAGTTTTCCACCCCTGTGCTGAAGAACTTCTTCCTAAGATCTAGATTAAACCTACTCTCCTTCAGTTTAAAACCATTTCCCCTTGTCCTTTCACTGGACACTTTTGTGAAAATCCCTCTCCACCTTCCTGTAGATTCCTTTCAGGCATTGGAAGGCAGTTATAAGGTCCCCCAGAGTCTTCTCTTCTCCAGGCTGAGCAATCCCAGTGCCTTCAGCCTATCCTCATAGCAGAGATGCCCCAGCCCCTGGATCAACTTTGTGGCCTCCTCTTGACTCGTTTCAACAGATCTATGTCCCTTTTATGGTGGGGACACCAGAACTGGACACAGTATTCAAGGTGGGGTCTCACAAGAGCAGAATGTGAGCAGAATCTTCAATGGATGAGTAGAAGAACAGGAGCTGTGGGTCCCAGCACATGGGGCCTGAGATACATACCTCAGTATGTATCTCTACCCAAGTGCTCTCAGTAGTTTCATGTGGCTACTGGCATCTCCCTGCAGGTCTACCAGGTAGATGTGGCTCTAGAAAACATCTCTGTTCCCTTCCCAGCTTTAGGGTAACCTTATCCTCTCTCCAGGTGGTGGTGGTGGTGAATGATGTCCTTGCAAACTGTTCTGGTTCGTGCTCTTTCCAGTTCAGCGAGGAACTGACGCCTTTAGTCAGTGAGGTGGAGTATTCATCAGGTAATGGGGCTTTGTGTGAACAAAATGGCAAGAGATCTCCCAGATGCTGATGATTTTATGTGTATTCTTTTGGATATTTCTGATTTTATGGAAATTGCACTTTCTGGTGGGGCACTACTAATCAGCTCCAGTCTTAAAATACATAGTACAGACAGGTTTGTACATTGAAGAAGGTGGTAGAGGCATAAAAGTAGATAAATAATGATTAGCTTGGTGCTTAAAGTGGGAGGTGGTTCTTGACTCAAGTTATTTTTAATACTTACAGGAAAAAATAAGTAATAGCTGAACAGAAATAGGCAGGAATAGGTGTTATGAGGGACAAGGAGAGATCATCAGTATTGTACTTTCAGATGTCCTGATGAAGATGATAAAAACTTTTAACTTGGTTGAAAGTAAATCCTGGACATTGCTACACCCAAATTCATGAGTCATCTTGTTGATTATGTTCCTTCAGATGATGGCTCCCAGGCCACAGTAGTTATCAGGGGCGTTGGCTTCACTGAGGAGCAGACAGCCCTGCAGGTGGAGGTGAACAATGTGACCTGCCATGTCATAACGTTGAATCAAACTGAAGTAGCTTGCCAGATGGAGAGCCTGCCAGTTGGAATCCATCAGGTGACTCTACTGGTGAGACCTTATGGCTTCGCACTCAATGGCAGCACAGGAGAAGGCATCTTCCTGCGAGTTGAGCCAAACCTGGTAGCTATTGAACCTCCTACAGCTTCAGAGATTGGTAAGTCTGAATGCCAGGCCAGCTCTAAGGGGACATCTGCTTTCTGCTTCTTGTTTTTCACAGTGTTTCAGTTCTTCTGTGCTTTGACTACCAAGATCTTCATCTGACCAAAAAGATATAAAATGTCTAGAAACATTCTGTGTAGCCAAAGCACTGGGGCCAGCTTCTTACAAAGAGTGAGAGACTTTGGTTCTTTGTGGAGACAACTGGTTTTCTGACTAGTTTTGTTTGAGAATTTTAAGTTCAAGTGCAGGTATATTTATTCCAAGAACCCAGAAAACTGTTATTGTTTCTTGGCTCACTTTCCCATGCTCATTTCACACATGGCTTTGTAGTATTTGGATTCATCTGGCTTAACTGTGAAACAGCTAAACTCTGGTTCATCTCTGCCCAGTTGAAATGAATTCATATTCTGAGTGATAAAACTGAGAAGTCATAGTTTAGATACAAAACTAAGAAACCTATAGAAGCTCAAACTAAGATGAATCTCCTTCGATTTCCATTATCCCTCCTCTCCTTGAAAGAGAAGAGGAAATAAAGGGTGTGATATATTCCATCCCTGAGAGAACATGGAAGATTTTTCACAGGACATTGGGGCCAAAAGACCATTATGTGTCTCTCATCTACCCTGTGACACAGATCAGAGGAATTCACCTGGAAGTTCCAGCAGCCTTCCTAGCCAGCTGTAGCTAAGCCAAACCAAAGGCTGTAAAAAGCCACCCTCTCTATTTTTTTTTGGGATAGGGAAGAGTCTCCTCAATCTGATGAGAAATATGGAGAACACTCTTGACACACCTAGGCTGTGCAATAACATCAATGGTCTGTGAACCTCTATGTGGATGAGCCATGGGATAGTGTTGGGGGAATGTAGGGTTTCTAAGATGAAAATCAAGAAGTTGTGACGACCTCTTTTTGTTGCGTTCCCTTGGAGTGTATGGCAAGAAAGGTATTCTAAGATTCCCTTTCCTTTCCTCTCCTCTTTGTTTTTGCTTCTCCTCTCCAGTGGGAGGGTCATATGGTGCACGAGGTTGATGCTCACTGCTTTAATTAAAAAACCTGAAAGAAACCAAGCCAGCAATGGTGACTTTTAGTGCTTGGACCTTGCTTCTCATTTCCTTTGCTGACAACCCAGTTCTTCTCCCAATTACAGTGATCTGTCACTCATTAAAAAGAAAGCAAGTATAATACTATCTTCCATTGCATATGCCTTGAACATTTATAATTGGAAAGAATTACAGCTTCCATCTGTGTTTTTAATTTCTTCTATTTAAAATATCTCCCTTCAATCTTCTCGTAAAGTGCACACATGCAGAATTTCACTGCATGTGGATTTGTGTAGATATCAAAACTTAAGAGCATCATTCTTTACACAACACACATGGATTTTGGACTCTGAATCTGAGGCTTCTTATCTGACAACTATCACATTAGACAAGTGGCTTTGGTTTTGAGTTCTTGCTCTTTCTGGCTCTGCAAACTTAACATCACAAGAGAAGAAGCCAGGAAGCATCTTGTTCTTTGCATCAGGTCTCTCTTGTCAAAAGGAACAAAAAACGACCTTCTAAAGATACTAGCATGATCCAATGGGTGGAAGGAGCTTGATTTTGAGGTATCTGATTGCTGCTGTTGCCTAGTTTTGGTGTCAACTGGAAAAAAAACCAAGAATATTCTTCTAGACTTCTGTGTTTTGTTAAAGAATTATCCAGAAATGATGCTTTGAGGAAAAGGGTCTCTGCCATCAATATATAATGGCTTTACCAGAGAAGTTTAATTGCATGACACATGAAATGCATTGTAAAAGCTCAGTTGGTTTGTAATACAGATATATTAACACAAGAACATGTTGCATCAATCAAGTCCAGCCATAGTCCTAAAATTCTTCAGTACAGATAAGCAGAGAAAACAGCTGTAAGTTTCAAGCAATTTTTTCCAAAAACTTTGTCTTTGAGCCACACCGAAGAACAAAGTCCAGGTTAGAATTGCCATTAATGCCCATTCTTGTTCTTTTTCCTGTTTTACTTTGAAACATCCCTGAATCTTCTAATCCCTTGAAAAAGCTGAGGACCATCTTGACTCTTTACACTGTAATTGGGTGTTGCAGAAAGGTCAAGTGCAAGTCTGGCTTGTGTTGGGTACAATCCTGTATGTCATTGAAGAGGCTCAGCTCTGGCTGGCAGGAAGGAGAGCTGAGGTTGCTCAGTACTTCACAGAATCAAGCCCTCCACGACTTTCCTTACAACTCTGCTGAGTCTCAAGCCCTGCCAAGTCCCCTTTCTAACCTAAGCTTCCTAGACACATGCTACAGGCTTTTTTTTGACAGCAGGGTGCTTGGTAGCTATTTGAACTGTGAAAGCACCAGCTGTGTGAAGCTCATTTTCCATTCTTTGTGCTTCTTCCTTCCTTCCTTCTTTCATTTTTGGTCTGGGGATCGTTCTAAGGTTGAGATCACAGACCAACCCTTGCTGGCTTAAGTATGTCATTAAAAAAAGAAACCAAGGAACAAAACCATTCCTCCTGTATCATGGACAAGAATTCAAGCAATAAGCAAGAAGGATCTCTGGTGAAGCAGAGGAAGCTGGGCACAGGGAGGTGGAAGCAGACCATGATCAGATCAATTAAAAGACAGCACTGCCTTGCATAGTCACCTATTAATAAAGAATCCTTTGCATATAAAAAGATCATTCCACACCTTGAATGTAACAGGATAACTGGTTTTGTAGGAGGAGTGCGAGTGGCTCTCAAGGGCACAAACCTGGAAGGGATAAACTTGGTGCTATTTGGATCTCAGCCTTGCCCAATTCTGGAGGACATCAGAAATTCAACAAGAATTGAATGTAAAGTTCCCTCTCGGGTAAGAAATTGCATTTTTTGCAGACAGTCAGCAGCCTACAGGCTTTGCTGTATTTTCCTGGCTTGGGCTACACTGGGGAAAGGGCTGTGGGACAAATTAGCATGATTTCCAATGACAGTTTAGACCAGCATAATTAACAATAGACTGATAGGTGATTTATATAAACCAGTGAAACAGCCAAAAACTCAAATTGTGTTATCGTTAGCTAAACCTTACCTAAAAAATCCTGAGGCTTTCAACTCCAGAAAAATTTCCCATATCCACTTTCAGTTGTCTACTAGTAGATGAGTGGATTTCCTTGTCTGGAAAGCTGCCCAGTGGAAAAGGATGTGGGGGTTCTGGTTGACAACTGGCTGAAGATGAGCCAACGTGTGGCCAGGTGGCCAAGAAGCCACCAGCATCCTGGCCTGGATCAGCACTGGTGTGGCCAGCAGGACTAGGGCAGGGATCATCCCCCTGGAATGAGCACTGGGGAGGCTGCCCCTCAAATCCTGGGGTTGGTTTTGGGTCTCTCACTCCAAGGACCTTGAGGGGCTGGACTATGGCCAGAGAAAGGCAATGAAGCTGGGGAAGGGTCTAGAGCCCAAGTGTGGGGAGGAGCAGCTGAGGGAGCTGGGGGTGCTGAGCCTGGAGCAAAGGAGGCTCAGGGGAGACCTTCTGGCTCTGCACAGCTCCTGACAGGAGCCTGGAGCCAGGGGGGGGTCGGGCTCTGCTCCCAAGGGAACAAGTGACAGGACAACATGAAACAGCCTCAAGTTGTGCATGGGGAGCTTGAGGCTGGCCCTGAGGAACAATTTCTTGCCCTTGAGGGTTGTGCAGGTCTGTCCCAGGCTGCCCAGGGCAGTGGTGGAGTCCCCACCCCTGGAGGGGTTTCCAAGCCGTGGAGATGTGGTGCTGAGAGCCATGGCTTAGGGGTGAACTTTTCAGTGCTGGGTTAACAGTTGGACTTAATGACCTTAAAGGTCTTTTCCCACCAAAATAATGTTCTGATTCTATGTCTGGGACAATTGTTCTTACTCGTATTGTTGAACCCTCTTCAGCTCCAAATCTTGTTTGCATCCAAAGCTCCTATGGAGGCTATCTGTGTCATGCAAAAACATACCCAGGAACTATTAGCAGCAGTGGTCTTTGCTGTATGGCAAAATTATACCCAGGATGATACAAAGAGTTTCAGCATAGTCAAAGGCATGACAAAGTCATAGGCATAGACATAGCACTGTTTAATTTATTATGGATGTGGCAAATACAAATCTGCATAGTCTGGGGTTGTTTTAAGATTTCTGATTCTTCAGTTGTCCCTTTAAAGTCAACATAACAGTACACATTTCAGTAGTGCCTGATTTTTGTACAAATTTCATCGTTTCCATGTGCCTGACTAAGTATGGGTGAAGCAGGAATATAGGCATGTACAAATTTCATCAGTTCCACGTGCCTGACTGATTAAGTATGGGTGAAGCAGGAATATAGGCAATAATTTTGTTTATTGGTGCATTCCCATCCCTGAAATTTTCTTCATTTCTCTTTCTAGGGGACAGAAGCTGCTGCTGTCCATGTGACACTAATTTCTGGGTACCAGTCAACAACAGTAAGAAACTTGTTCCAGTATGATCCCTCCTTAACCCCTGCAGTTGTGTCACTGAGCAGAAACAGAAGTGGAATAGCAGGTGAAGAGGCTGCAGATGAGTGTTGGGCACTGTCTGTAGCAGTGTTATCACTGCTGGTGGTGGTGGGTGGGCCAGAGGGAATTTAGGTCTATGAAGTTTGTTGATCTGACTCTTTTTATGATGTATTCTTTTAACTTGGAGGCCCTGTGTTTCCTGCCAGTCCTGATCAGTCCTGGTTGTTTTGTGTTGGTTTTACTCTAGCACACATGAGATAATCAGTTGCTTGCCCTAGGCCAGTATGGATGATGTCCATGGGATGCCAGATGTTGTATAGTATTCCTTCTGTGTTCCCTTGCTCTAGCTCTGCTCTGAAATTATCCTACCTGTTTATTCTTGGCAACAGGTTCAGCCTTGATAAGAAAAAAGAGCTCTAGAAAGTGTCCATGTCCTGGATCCCAAGGGGTTGATCATAAAGTGCATGATGTTCATTTTGGGTTACTGAAAGCAGAGAGAGGCAACTCTTGTCTTTCTAGTTCCCATTTCCAAGCCAGACTGTTTATTCCAGTTTGACCTTGTGATCTGTTCCTTTAGATTATGAGACTTGATGGACTTTGTAGGGACAAAAGCCTAAGGAGATCCTATGGAGTGTTTAATGTACTTGTCTTGGAAGCTTCCACTGGGAGTTGTTTTTCCTTCCTCATCTCCACAATGTTTTGTCTGGACATTGGGAATAGAAGGCATTAATGATGACTGATTTCCAGTTACAGACAAGTCTTGTCAGAAGAGGGTTTACTGCATTTGTGTGTGGCAACCAGACCCCAGATTCCTAGTATCTTAGAGAGAGAGGAAGGAATACAGGAGAAGGACAGAAGTATTCCTGCTTTCCTATTCCTATTTTCCTATTTCCTACTCCTACTTCCCACCCTACTCCCATTCCTCTAAGGATGCAATGATCTGATTTGTTTTTTATCTCTCTCTTTGCAACCTCTCCAGTGCAAACCTTAATAAAGCTCCCCCAGTTCAGCAGTTTGGTTGGACTTGGTGGGGATTGGGGGAGTTAGGGGGTTGTCAGTGATGCAATGCACTTCTTGCTGCACATCCAGCATTTCCATTCCTTTCCCCAAATGCCCTTGTCATTTTCTATTACTCCAGAATGCATAAATAAGAGAAAAACGTCCTTTATCATGTGAATATTATTCAGATGCTATAGCACCAAGGGGAGCTTTTTCTAGCCGTGGGCAGCTCGGGTGCAAGGAATTCCTTAATGGTACAGAGCCTCGTGAATGGTGGCGTGGCCAAGTTCAATCTCCTATTCAGAACCTCCACGGCTTCGTCTTTTAATATAATTTTCCTCCTACATAATAAAAAGAATAAATAAATTACACTGATGCCTTCCAGGCATCTAGGATTAAGCTGACAATTGACCAAGAGCCCGAAGAGTTCACGTTGTTAATACATTCAACTTTGCAGGCTTTCAAACTTCAGTTGACTCTTTGTGCATGGAGAATTGTAAAGGACTGGTTTCAGGACATGCTTGATGAGGGAAGCTTTATATAGACTCTCCTGCTTCATGGAAGGCAGAGACTTCTCCATAGCTGAGGCTGTGGAGCTGAATGGTAACGAGGACAGTGTCTGCTGTGGAGGTGAAGCTAAAGCCAAGTGGCCCTGGCCTCTACTTAGGAGACAAAATTGCTACTCGGATCTGAATCTTTAGCAAGGATACATCAAGCTGTAACAGTCAGTTTTAAGACAAGGTGAGGGAGTAAAGCAGATGACCTGGTCCTGGCTACCTCCCTGTGTGGCTGGAGTAAGTGCCATGTGCTCAGTGGAGAAGAGGAATGGGCAAAAATGAAGCTGCTTTGGGACAGCTGATCTTCACCAGCTGTCCTGGAGCAATTCTGTTGGCAGACAAGTGTTTCAGGCTGGCTGATTCAGGAGAGTGATAAAGCATTAAAACTTTTTGCTTGATAAATTTAGGAAAGGGATTTATAAATCATACCTGGGAGGTGGGCCCATGCCAACCTCATGAATTGCAACAAGGTCAAGTGCAAAGTCCTGCACATCAGTTGGGGCAATCCCAAGCACAAACACAGGCTGGGCAGAGTATGGATTTGGAGCAGTCCTGAGGAGAAAGATTTGGGGGTGCTGGTTGATGAAAGCTCAACATGAGCCAACAATGTGTCAATGCAGCCCAGAAAGCCCCAGCAATATCCTGGGCTGCACCCCCAGCACTGTGTGTGGGCAGCAGGTCAAGGGAAAGAATTCTTCCCCTCTACTCCACTCTCATGAGACCATACCTGGAGTATTGTGTCCTTGGAGCCCCCAGTACAAGAAGGACATAGATCTGTTGGAGTGGGTCCAGAGGAGGGCCATGAAGATGATCTGTAGGCTAGAACACCTCTCCTACAAGAACAGGCTGAGGGAGTTGGAATTGTTCAGCTTGGGGAAAAGAAAGCTCCAGGGAGACCTAACTGTGGCTTTCCAGTATCTGAAGGGGGCCTACAAGAAAGCTGGGGAGGGACTGTTTGCAAGGGCTTGTGGAGGTAGGATGAGGGATAATGGGTTCAAACTGGAAGAGGGAGATTTAGATTAGAAACTAGAAGTTCTTCACCATGAGGATGCCGAGTCACTGGAACAGGTTGCCCAAGGAGGTCATAGATCCCTCAAAAAGCATCTATGAGTTCAAATGAACTCTTCACCAGATTGCATTTGAATGTCTTTGTTAGAATAAGATGAATCATGCCATAAAGACTGTTTCATTTCATTGAATACAGATAGAATTATCTCAGTGAAAATGCCTTTTTTTTTTGGACTTATGCACACCACTATTTTATGGAGCTATTTCAGGAGAAATTTAGGTTATGAAAATCCATTCTCCACTGCCCTTGTCCTTTTCTATTACTGCAGTATGCAAAGAGAGGAAACTTTCTTTTGTGTCATCTGAATATAATTTTGCAACAGAGGTTCAATGGGATGGGCGAGAGACCCAAGTTTCCTGAAGACAAGGTGCCTTGGAGCACCCATGGGCATCTGACTTTAGGTAGATCATTTAGCTGTGGAAGGCTCCTGTTAAAGTTACATAGCTCTATAGTGGTGAAAATTATGGGCTGGATCGTTATCAGTGATTTAGCAAAAATCCCAGAGCTCTTCAGTTCCAGTTTATGTGAGCTTTAGAAAGAGTGGATTTGGCTGCAGATATTTATGGGATCACTTATGTTAAGGGGCATGGATCTTATCCTGAGTGTGTACGAGCAGTCTGAGAATGGCCACAGATGGTGATGGCCAAGTTCACAATGATAATACCTCAAAGCAACCCTGAGGGCTGACGACTTTACCCTGGGGGCCAAGAGATTGAGTAGGAAACGGAACCACTGTGGTCTTCAACGTTTTGTTTTGGGTTGATGGACATGACTGGACCTGCTCTGGCATGGTGGGACACCATGGTGGAACAATGGCTACATGTGCTAAAATCTCTGTGGCTAGAAATGCTGAAGTAGTTTCATCCATTCTTCTGTCTGCAGGGGGTCAGGAGCTTCAGATTGGAATATCCCACTTTGCCAGCTACCGAGGGTCAGATATCAAGGTTCAAATTGGTGGCTCATGGGCACAGATCCAGCTGCAGACGGACCACGGTGTTAATGTGACTCTTCCAGCCTTGGATGTAGGATGGCACAATGTTTCTGTCCTCATCAATGGTGTTGCTCTTGCTTCAAACAGGTGTGTGAACGAGTGTGAGTGTGCTTTCCTTAAGATATAAATTTATTCTCCATCCCGTTTGGTATTTTAGGGTTAATCTGATAAAAAGAGGTAGGAATGTTCACAAAGTCTGTACCCAACAGTGAATTCTGCAGTGTGGCATAAAATTATGAATAATTATCAAGGCATTTATTGATCTGTGGAACCCAACTCAGCAAACAGCTAATGCTAGTCCCCTTGGATCAGTAAGGAGGCAGGAGAGAAACATTTTAGAAAAAAAAAAAAGATGATTTGATGATCAGCAAACTGCTAATGCTAGTCAGTTAACTCCCCTTGGATCAGTAAGGAGGCAGGAGAGAAACATTTTAGAAAAAAAAAAGATGATTTGATGAAAAATGCATATTCAGGCAATCAAAGGTATTCACAGATTCAGGTCAAATGCAGATAAATCCTGCTGTAGGAAAACAAGAGAAAGAAAAGAAACTTTTAATGAGAAAAACAAAAGCTAGTTTGAAAAACAATAGAAAAAAATGAGTTTTTTTTTTGAATTTTTAAATGATGCTGTTTCCATCTTTTAACGTGTCACTTCAAGTTCATGCCTAGATAAATGTAATACAAATTAAACTGAAATCTGGGGGAAAACCATTCTGAAAGTAAGCTGTAACAATGGCAGCTCTAGGAATGATCCTGAAACAAGAGTATCTGGGAGAAGAGAGCTGCTTTTATTGCTCACAAACCACCTTAAGATGCTTGCTGTGTTGGTGAACTTCAGGAGGAGAAAGCCTGTGATCTGTAGGATGACATACTGGGATTCATCCCATCTGATGTGGAGTTTTAGCAGCACCATCACTTTGTCTCCAGGGACAGGGTGGAGGGAGATGGGTCATCCCAGGGGACAACTCTAATCTCTGGTGGGTTGGATTGTTGGCTTGGGAAGGTCAACTTTTCTAATGGGTGTTTTTAGGGGAGGAGGCATTTTTGAAAGGAGAGTGGTCACAGATTCACAGAACATTAAGGGTTGGAAGGGACCTCTGGAGATCATTGAGTCCAACCCCCCTGCCAGAGCAGGACCATCTAGTCTAGGGCAGGTCACACAGGAACGCATTGCGACCGGTCTTAAAAGTCCCCAAGGAAGGAGACTCCACAACCTCCCTGGGGAGCCTGTTCCAGTGCTCTGTAGCCCTGTTTTCCTGATGAGGAGGTCAAGTAGATGTTGGTGGGACAGAAGCAAAGCCACACCCTTATCTGAGTGGGCTTCAGGAATGAAGATGTCTAACAAGTCATCTTCTTGCTGCAGATGGGAGGATGTAAAGAGGGCAGGCAGCTGACTGAAGTCTCTTAATTCACTTGCATCTCCTATCTGTGGGCAGAGCTACAGTCTGGTAAAACCCCCTCGTTCTTCTTTTGATGGGTGATTCAGTTGCACCTCATGGCAACCTGTGCACCAAACATAATCCACTTGATAAAGCAGTGTCCATAACGGAATGTAGCTCGAATCACCTGGAAAAATTCGGGGTCTGGGGTAGTCTTATCACTGTGGCACTGAGCAAACGGGATGTGCCAGGTGGGTGTTTGGCCTTCCAGCCTAGAAAGAGTTGTAAGAATGAACAGCAATGCAGCAGGAGAGAAAAAATATTTAAAAAAAAAACAAACAAAAAAAAACAAAACTAAATTCTCAAAATCCCTTTTATGTTGCTTATGTTTTGCAGAGTTGAGCCATTCATCCAGTACCTCTCGGAGATCCTCAGCATAGAGCCCTGTTGTGGCTCCTTTCTGGGTAAACAGCCTTGGTACATCTGCAGCCACTTATGGGGGTTAAAGGGATCAAGGGCAGAGTTTTCCTGCAGGAATGGAAAGGGCAGCCCATTTCACAGCAATTTAAATTGAGGGTGTTTTAAGTCTGTGACCCTTTATTACGCAGACGTCAACTGGCAGACAGCAGCAGGCTGGCAATGGGGGATTGCAGTGAGCATCCCTCGAGCTGGTTGGCTGGCTCAGGGCTCTCTCTGCTTTGAATTTGATTTCCCCAAGTGTTTGCTCATCTATCCTTGGATCATCCCATTGGGAAAACAAAGCACACCCACACCTGACTCATCTGTGCTGCTTCTTTCAGTCATTACGCCTCCATCTTTCAAGGCTTTCTACGTGGAAGTTGGGTGGAAAGCAGGGTACAATTGTGGTTTGAAGCAAACAATCATTTCAAGTGATCCCAAAAGGGATCTTTGGTTTTGTTAAGTTGAAAAGACACCCTCCCCCTCCCCGTGCTTTTTCAATGTTAATTTTAATCAAAAGTGAAATATTTATTAATGCCATTCCAAGATTTTAAAACGTTGGAAATCATTTAAGTGTGTTTCACAGCAAAACACCACTGAATTAAAAAGAAAAGTTTTACTTGAAATCTTAAAAAGGAGATTTGGGGTGGTTGATTTATTTTGCCATTTGACTGGTGGTAGGGGGAGAGTTGAATGCCTGTAGTGAATTTTACATGAGACCATAGAAATGTTTTTATAGAAGACAGAGAAATTCTTGTGATGCAACCTCAAGCCCTCCACAGATTTTCCCAGGCTCACAACATGTTTAAAGATGCAAAAACTTAGAGGCTTTGTGGTACGTGATTAGTTCAATAATTTGTGAAGTGCCCAAGCCTTGAAAGATGAGATCATGCCTGGAGTTTGGAGAGTAAAGCCTGTCAGTTTTGAAGATTAAGCTATACTAAAAAAAAAAATAATTATAATTGCACCATTCTTTTCATATTTAAGGGCAAGTTGAAATTTAAATAAGAACTGATTAACTCTTTGGCTGTAGTTTTATGATGGGCTTAAGCTGACTCAGAATCTCATTGCTGCAAAAAGCACCAGACCTTCCCCTCTTCGTCTCCAGTCTTTTGTTGTCTCTAACACTTGTGTGGCCACCTGGATTAAGGATCTGAGCTCACTCCAAAGGAGCCCCATTACAAAACTCATTTTTCAGCCAGATCATGGGAAGAGAAAGGGAATGGGCTTGGTGGATAAAGAGGCTGAAGTGAGGCAGGGCACTGGGAGTGCAAATACTACAAGCTAAAGGAAGATGGGGAGAGGTTTCAACTGGGTTCTGGTCTTGGAAGCATGAAATTAGAATGGTGGGGAGTTTGTATTTTTATTATTATCACTTCCTAAAATCCAGACTGCTCCTCCTTCAGTGCTGTCCTTACTCTCAGCACCCTGGGAGGCAGTGAAGATACTGGTGCTTTGCAATGTTCTGTACACCCAGACATCAGGATTCGTGCTTATTCTAGATAATTAGCATCTACTCTGCATCAAGTTGGTAGTAGAGCCTCCCAACACTGCAGCTCTCCTGTCAGTGTGGAGAGGGAGACTCCAGTGCCACGTCCTAGAATAAAAGCATGGGTCACACCAGTGATAGCCTCTCTCCCAGAGTGACCCAAAAATAGGATGCCTGAGGAAGGTTCTGTGAGTGGAGCATCCTGTCATGATACTTCTCTACAATCTTCCAGCTTCCAACACTAGACACATGGGCAGCTCCAGCTAGAGGTCATAACTTTGCCTAACTCTTCCTGAACTGCTTTTCCATATGAAAGTCCCTCTTGGTTCACACCAAGAGTCTATTTACCCATTGGCTGTTGTCTTCTGTGGTCTTAAGTAGCTGCCCAGGGAATAAAAACATCCAGACAACCACAGAGGATATCAGGCAGCTTTGCCTTCCTCCAGCCCATGTGTGGGAAGCTCTGGTCAGAGTTGTCTTTGATAGTGGAGGGGGAGCTGCTCTTGCCTCCTTCTTCCTGTTGTACCCATCCTAAATGGTGCAGACTGGGAGCATATAAGTAGGGGAGGGCTTGAAGCTGGAAGCATTCATCAATATATCAGCTTCTCTGGTCAGTGAACTCCTCAAGGGCAGGTAACCACCAGTGTGTGGCAAATCTGGCATTCAGGCTGAGTGGTCAGGCAGAGCTGAGGATTGAAGGGGAAGGTCTGTGGTTCTGACTTTTTGTCTGCAAGCAGTCATAGCACATTCTGATTCCCTGTATGCAGCAGGATCAAACCATCTCCACCATCTCCCACCTACCTGTGCAGGCAGTCTCATTCCCTGGAGAATTCAGTCTGTTTGCTTTCAAAGGTCCTCTCAGACCAGCTTCCTCCAGTGCTGTGGTTGTTTTCTGCTGTCATTTGCTGCCATGAAGGTCCTTGGTTGACACCTCAGCCTCTTGTCCACATAGGATTGATTATCCTGATACATGAACACTTACTACTTTCTATCTGTCATGTTCCAAAATAAGTCTTTATTTCTTCTTCCTTTCAGCCTAAGACTGTCTACTGTGCTTATCAGCCTTTTTGTGGTTTGTGATTTTTCACAGAGGGTCATTAATTCCTTTCCTGCCTATAATGTCCTCCTTTTTGTTTTACTCCTAGGTGGAACACTGCTCACAATCTCTGGGCTGGGCTTTAGCCAGAATCCTGCTCAGGTTTCTGTTTCAATGAACAGGCAAACCTGTACGATTACTCACGTGGCAGAAGAGACAGTTTGGTGCCTGACCCCGCCAGCTTCTAATTTGTCTAATGAAGATACACAGGATCTCTCTGTTGGAGTAAACATAGTCATCAGCAATAGGTCTCTTCAACATGCTCTCTTTGCAAAAAGGATCACCACCTTTAGTTACCAGAGAGCTTTCACTCCTCTGGTTACTGCTGTTGAAACGGAAATCACAAATAGCAGCCTGGTCTTGAGCATCCAGGGGATAAACGTCACTGGATCCGTGGCTAAGCTTGGGCACAGGAAATGCAATCTTGAATTTCAACGTGGCAACAAATCTGCAAGGTTTTTTCAGTGCTCTTTCCCACTGAGCAGCTTGGAACCTGGAACTTTCCCCATCCAGGTTATCCAGAGGCAGCTAGGATACGCTCGTGTGACTGCAAAGATGCAGAACCTCACAGTAACTCCATGGATAACCTCCATATTCCCATCACAAGGTTCAATCTGTGGTGGGGTGTTGCTCACTGTATCTGGTATTGCTTTAAAATCGAGGAGGAATTTGGTACAGGTCAGCCTGGGGAGTAATTATTCCTGTGAGATCCAGAACTCTGGTAACAATGCCATTAGTTGTATTGTCCTTCCAGGGGCCCATCCTTTGCATTATCAGTGGTTGGCTGAGGCATCTTGGGCTCTTAATGTCACAGTGACTGTCAATGGGATCAGCAGTGTCTGCCTTGGAGACTGTACTCTCCACCTTCACGAGCAGTGGACCCCTGTTGTAGATTTGGTGACCTGGGAGGCCAACGGGACATTCACCTATGTGATGATCAAAGGACAGAGGTTGTCATGGCCAAGAGACAGCCCCATGGTACATGTCAATAACCAGGCTGTCTGCAAGGTAACTTTCTGGAATGAGACCAGCATCAAGTGCCGGGCAGACTGCATTGCCCCAGGGGAGCACAACATTTCCATCTCCACCAGGAGAAACGGGCAAGCTTGCTTCAGAAAGGTGTCCAAAGTTCTCACCATCCTGCCTCGGGTGTCCCAGTTTTACCCACAAAACTTCAGTACCAATGGTGGAGGCCTGCTCACCTTGGCAGGCTCGGCACTGAAAGGAAAGAGAATGACCTCTGTTCTCATTGACCATCACCTTTGTCTCATTCTCAGTGTCACCTGTGTGTCTATCCAGTGCACAGTGCCTCCAGGGAACGGCACCAGGGCTTTGAGCCTCAAAGTAGATGGCATCTCCTATTACCTTGGACAAATAAGTTACGACGAGGAGTTTACCCCAGCTTTCCTTTCTCTTGTTGCAACTGATCTCCTTTTAACAATGACAGTATCACGGGTCACAGAGGTGGACACCATCTACGTATCTGTTGGAGACTTTCCTTGTAGCGGCGTCACCATCACTCACTCTACTTTGCAGTGCTCAGCCCCTCTGCTTCCTGTTGGCAAGTACCCTGTGCTGGGCCTGGATGTCCCCAGGGGCTGGGCTTCTTCCAACCTGACGTTCACCTCCCAGCTGAGGGTGAGGGCTGTGCATCACAACTGGGGTAAGTCATGAAGCCTTGTTGCAGCTCCTCTATGGGCTGTAGTTTGAGCAACTGCGGTGACGGGGTTGGGTTTTTTTTTGGCATGAAAGCAAAAATGATGAATTCAAAACATTACCCTTGTCAGGCTCTGTCCTTAATCCCATTTTCTGTCCTTTCCCAAGGTGGCTTGGATGGAGGAGCAGTTTACCTGAGTGGAACTGGGTTTTCCCCGGGGAAGACTTTGGTCACAATCTGTGGCACCAAGTGTGGACTGTTGGGCAACACGACGACGACTCGCCTGAGCTGCCTGGCCCCACGCTTGCACGGTCAGCTAAGACACAAAACCTGGCATTGTCTTAAAAATAGCCCCTAAAAACCTATCTTGACCCAAAAGTGGGGTGTTCCAATATGTCTCATCTGAGAGGAACAGATAGGAGAAAGCCCTGAAGAAAGGAGAGGAGCCAATGTAGCATTGGTTCTGTTTTTGGAGCTCAGTCCAAAGGCAACATGCATGAGGGCTGCAGAGTTGAGTATTCAAGCACCTCTTGGTCATCACAGCTGTCTTAGTGAGCTGAATTCCTTTAAATGGCTTTTCTGCTGTGGCCCCATTCATTTTGTGTTTTGGCTGCATGGTAGGACAACTTCAGTGGAGTAAAGGGGTGTGAGGAAAAGGATGAATGTCTGAGAGAGTGAATAAATTATATACTACAGCCAGTTCATACCTTTGGGAAGCTGGAGATGAGGATTTGAACTCCTTGAGAGAAAGATGGGCTCATCTCACAGCCAGAGCATCCTTCTTAACTGGAGAGAGGCAGCAGGGAATGATGCCATGATCTCCAGCTCTCTCAAGGAGAGGAATAACCCTGCCCCCATTTTGGAGGGAACTCTTTGACATGGGTGTTTCCTGGGACAAGATGTATTTCTTTTCTCTCTTACTTGCAGCACAGGCTCCTAAGATCCGAAACAGGCAGAGTTTAAGACTTTTAAATCTCACCCTAAGACATATGTATTCCCCAAAAGCTAAGCACAGAACCCCCACTTTGGTGCTGCAGCACTGCAACAATTGGCTGCATAACACTTCAGCCCCTTCATAGCTTTGATGGCAGAACATCCTGAGATCTACAGAAATATTTGCTATTCTGTGCACATCCAGAGATCCATCATCCATCTTATAGCCTTTAATCCCTTGTGGAGCTTCCAGTGAAAGTGTCCATCAGAGTAAGTGGCCAGGGGTTTGCTCAAAGGTGTGTGGAAAATTCATCTTCCAAAATAGTTACAAGTTGACTAGATTAGTTGCTGAGAAACCAGTCCAATGTGAAATTTAACATTCTTTTGAGCAAGGATTGGGACAAATGGCATCCAGGAGTGCTCTTCATCCTTTCTTATTCCAAAATTCTATATTTATTCTTGTCAATTGGGAACATTTCCTTTCCTTATCCATGAGGAACACTAAGAAAAATGGAGGGGGAAGGAAATGGGCTTTAAAACCCAACCACAGGCACTCAAAAGGAAACACCAAGAGGCTGTAAGGCCTCAGTTTTCTTTGTTTTAAGCAAGATCTGGACACAGTCCAGAGAAGTCATTTTTTTTTAAACAAGAAAAAAGACAAAGTTCTGGAGTGCTGAAAAATAATCAAAGCACCAAACAGGGAAGCCTGGTTCCTGCAGGAAGAATAGCAGGATAAAATGTAATCAAATTGATCCAAACTGTGAAAACATGAATAACTGTGTTCAAAATTCCCTGGGTGGTGGGCAGCAGAGGGAGCCTGGGGAAAACCAGCTTCTGGGCAGGACCACAACGCTCATTGCTGACACTAGATGTCAGCAAGTGAATGCTGATTGCTGGTTGCCTTCCTGGCGAGGAGATGCAGAGGATGTGTATCCTTGAGGTCAGTTGTTAGAGAACTCCCCTGCTGTGGGTTTTGCAGGGTGTAGCCTTGCAAATCTCACCAGTTGAGTTACAAAGTGTTTCTCTGTCAATGGAGCATTTAGAGGAAAATG